AAATACTGATGAGCTTTTTATTCACAAATTATTAAGATTTAAATTTGTTGCCCAGGGTAGGATAGAGCAGGAACTTTTGTATGCTGCTAGTGGGAGTAGAAATTGGTGACAAAAGTTTTGGAAAACAATTTGGCGATATAGTTCAAAAGCCTTAAAGACATTTGACCTAGTACTTCTACTTCTGGGAAAACGTCCAAGGAAATAATCCTTTTCTAAAAAACAAAGACCTGAGCTTCAAACATTCTTACGTTATTTGTAATACTTCATTTCTTCGTTTTTAGTCTCAAGAAATTGGAGGCAATTTAAATGTCCCACAGAAGGCGAGTAAACAAAGATATTCACTGAAAGGAATATCATGACTCAAGCTTAAAATGTTTTGAAGAATATAAGATAGAAAATTCTTGAAATGTTAAATGTGAGAAAGGCGAAATACAAAATGTATAAACAATAGAAATTGAACTGTGTTCAAAAATATGTTTAGAAGAAAAGACTGGTGGGAGGAAATATACCAAAAGAATAAAGCGTTGTTTTTTGAATACTAAAACTTTTTAAGAAAAACATTCTGATAATTTTCATTTAGCATTTTTGAAAGGAAGGCAAATATAAATATTCATATTCCCTTGGAAAAGGTGTCTTTAAAAACTTTTTTTAGAGATGGGGTCTCACTCTCTTCCAGTGAGAGTGCAGTGGTGCCATCATAGCTCACTGCAACCTTACACTCCTGAGCTGAAGTGATCCTCCCACCTCAGCCTCCCAAATAGCTGGGACTATAAGTATGTGCCACCACGCCTTGCTCATTTTTTTCAGTTTTTAAAGATGAAGTCTCACTGCGTTGCCCAGGCTTATCTCAAACTCTGGACCTCAAGTGATCCTTCTGCTTCAGACTCCCAAGTTGCTGGGATTACAGGTGTGAGCCCACCGCCTAGCAAAAAAGGGTGTTTTAGAGTAGAGGGGGGATAGTTAATCATCCAGTGTTCAGCAGAATGATAGTTCTTCCCCTGACCTTTTAGGTCCCTCTGAAGTCTTCTTGCTTACTAGGCATTCTGATTTTGATACCAGAAAAAAGTACCCCTAAATGAGGATCTTCAAAATCTCTGTCATTCACTTATTAGAAAGGTTGTGTCTCTGTTATAAATAAATTGACATTTTGGTTTGTTACTCGTCTCCTATGATTTTGATTAGTATAAATCAGTCTCCTAGAGCCTGATTCTTGCTGGGGAATGGCATAAAATCGGGTTTTTAAACTTGTGAGTCTGAACGTGGGAATCAAGAAGTCTGATCACGGACTTCCTGATGTCTCCTCCCTTCCCTGCCCCTGGACGAGGTACCCTGGATCTTAGCAGTCCGCCCATTGCTTTAGTGGCCAAAGGAGGAAAGCAAAAATGAAAGGGAAGAATTATATTTTCATATGATGAGCTAGTCTTTGAGTTTAAAAAAAAATAGCTGGAAATAGTGGTAGTCTTTCTTTAAGGAGCAAATGCTTAGTTTACTTAAGAAATCTTTTAATTCTCAGTACTTTTTAAGAACTTTTTCTTACATGAAGTGTGAAATAAGTGTAATATATTCACTAAATTCTTGACTCACTAATTAGCTTCTTTAGTTGTATTATGTAATTATATAACCAGGTTTTAGAATCCACTCACACGTTTTTAAATAACAGCTTTGTTCAGATACAATCCCATGCCATACAATTCACCCACTTAGAGTGCTTAATCAGTTGTGCAACCATGGCCACAATCAATTTTAGAACATTTTCTTTACCCCCCAAAGAAATCCCATACCCTTTATATTCACTCCCCAGTTTCCCCTAGACCTTACCCCAGGTCTACTGTCTACTCTGTTTCTTTCTTTTTAATTTGAGACAGAATCTCACTCTGTTGCCCGGGCTAGAGTGCTGTGGCATCATCATAGCTCATAGAACCTCAAACTCCAGCCCCAAGCAATCCTCGTACCTGAGCCTCCTGAGTAGCTGGGACTACAGGTGTCTGCCACAATGCCCAACTAAGTTTTCTAATTTTTCTTTGTAGAAGCAGAGTCTCACTTTGCTCAGGCTGGTCTTGAACTCCTGAGCTCTAGGGATCCTCTCACTTCAGCCTCCCAGAGTGCTGGGATTATAGGCATGAGCCCCCTTAGGGCCTATTCTGAACATTTCATATAATTGAATTGTAGAATAATATGTGGTTTTTTGTCACTGGCTTCTTTCACTCAGCATAAAGTTTTCGAGGTTAGGGCTGGGCACAGTGGTTCACACCTATAATCCTAGGACTTTGGGAGGCTGAGACAGGTACATTGCTTGAACTCAGAAGTTCAAGACCAGCCTGAGCAATAGTGAGACCCTGTGTCTATTAAAAAATAGAAAAACTGAGGCAAGATGATTGCTTGAGCCCAAGAACTTGAGGTTGCTATGAGCTATGATGCCACAACAACGCTACTCAGGGTGCCAGAGTGAGACTGTGTCTAAAAAAAAAGTTTTCAAGGTTCATTAATACTTCATCATGTGTCCATACATCATTTTTAAGATTATTATTTATTACTTGTTATTTATCCTGATCTTCCATTTTATGGATATGCCACATTTTATTTATGCCTTCATTGTGATTGGACACCTTGATTATTTCCACTTTCTGGCTCCTGTGAATACTGCTGTGAAGGTGCGTGTACACGCTTTTGTACAGACATATATTTTCATTTCTTTTGGAGATACATACACACATATTTACATACACACTTCTACAAGGGGAATTGCTAGGTCATATGATAATTATTTAACCTTTGGACTCACTGCTGGACTGTTTTCTGGAATGGCTACACCCCCACTAGCAAGGTATGAGGGAGGATACAGTTTCTCCACATCTTTGCCAACAGTAGTTACTATTTGTCTTTTTGATTACAGCCATCCTGGTGGGCGTGAACTATACCTCATTTTGGTTTTGATTTGCATTTCCCTAATGACTAATGATGTTGAACATCTTTTCATGTTCTTATTGGCCATTTACATATCTTTGGAGAAATGCCTTTTGAAGTTCATTGCCCATTTATAATTGGGTTATTTAGCTTTTTATTGTTGTATTTTAACAGTTCTTTATGTATTTTGGATGTAAGTTCTTTTATTATGTATGCTTTGCAGATACTTTTTCCTGGCTGTGGATTATCTTTTTACTTTCTTGATGGCGTCCTTTGAATCACTAAAGTTTTTAATTTGGATGAAGTTGAATTTATTTTTTATTTTTGTGCTTTTAGTGTCCTATATAATAAACCATTGCCTAATCCAGGGTCACAAGATTTACACCCAGGTTTTCTTCTAAGAGTTTTATAGCTGTAGCTGTTACATTTAGGTCTTTGATTGATTTTGAGTTAATTTGTATATATAGTATATGAGAAAGTGATCCAAATCCATCCTTTTACGTGTGACTATCCAATTTTCCTGGTATCATTTGTTGAAAAGACAATTTTTCCATTGAATTTTCTTGCCATATTTATTGAAAATCAATTGACTATAAATGTAAGATTTTAATTTTGGATTCTCAATCTGTTCCACTGGTCTTTATGTCCATACATTTATATTTTTCTTTCATTGTTTCATTCATTTTGCAAAGATTTATTGAGTACATCTAGATTCCAAGAATTGTGCTTGACATCTCCTTGTTATTTGCTTTTGGGAACCAAACTGTCCCTCTTCAAAGCACAAATTTTCTTTAGGCAACCCATTCTAACAGGATGTAACATCTTTTTATTTTAATGATATATGAAGTGATTTTCCCTCATTGCTGCACTATAGAGGCAATTATAGATCTATCTTTTGCCAAATTGGAGTTTATCCAACTGTATTTGAATATTTACAAGTCCAAGTGCATTTTAGAGGGCTTGGAAGAATGAAAATTGGTCTGAGCCAGTCCAGTGTTGAAGATGAGATTAGTTTTAAAGTGAAAGAAAGATTTCATGATGGGAAGTTCCTGCCAGGAGTGGAGAGACCCATGTGCAACTTGAGAGGCCCAGGAAGGTGGCAAGTCTAGTTGCTGGCAGCATAAGCCCGGAGAAAAGTAGAGGGCCTGCTGGATTGAATGCTACTTCCAAATTCTGCTTCCAGACTTTATTTTAGTAGCATTTTCTTGCCAACATAAAGTTATAAAGGAAAAAATTATGTTTACAGATTATGGTTTAATGCTGGGTTTAAGATGCATTAAAGGAGGCAAGAATTCTATGTAATGGTAGTGACTCATCTCTAGATAGGAATTATGGTTGTAGAAATTGAGAGTATAGGTCAAAGATGTAATTTAATGTAAACTTAACAGAATTTGTTGATTATCTAAAATAATTAAAGGTGATTCCAGTGTTATAACTTGAGGACACTGGAATTGGGAGTGGAATTGACCTTGGGAGGGCAGTTGTACCAGTGCTTGTCGTGAACGAGGTGGGAGGAAACAGCTGTAAAGATAACCTTTGATATCGCTATACTTACTGGCCAAATATTCAAGCAGATACTAAAAGATACTCAACTTAGCTAATATATCAGGTCTGATATTCAGTTGAGGATACTCAACTTAGATAATATATCAGGTCTGATATTCAGGAGCTTTTAACATTTGTTCAACACAAATAGGATTGATTTCTCATCTATTGTTGCCTATTCATTTTAAAACTCACGTTGTGAAATGATCTCCTACCTCTTACTGTCTAACTTTAAAGGTTAGGTTTTTGTTTTCTCTATTTATATAATAAACGTAAAAAAAATACCTGGTCATTGGTTTTGGAAGGCTTAAGAAAGGTACTAGATTCCATGGTTTGGTAGTGCCACTAACAATATTATTGTTTTAAGGGAGGAAAAAAGTTTTTAATACTGACTACATTGAAAAACTTAGTCTCTATATCAGTGTAGATAAGTTTCAGTTGCTCAAGACGGTTTTGTCTCTAAACACTTAAATGTGAATCCTTTAGAAAATGTATTATGTGTTGAAACTTATTACATGCATTTATTTATCTATTCTTAAAATTTCTTTCAGGAATTGTTCCATCCTCTGTTGTCCTGACTTCTTTCCAGGTGATGTCAAGAGTTTTTCTAATATGGGCAGTAACACATAGCGTCAAAGAGGTAAGTGTTTATACAAACTAAAAAAAAATAATATCAGCATTAACAAAATGCTGGTCTACTTTCCATTTTACATGTTTGTTATAGCTAAAGATGGACGGCCAGGTCGTATCCATATAGCTGAAATAAAGTTCACATTCACTATAGGAATGGGGTTAACAGTGGAAAACATACCCTAGGTGTTCAGTGTGTTTAAAGAGAAGACTGAATAAATGGTAAAGTCCTCTGATCTCAGTTCTTATGTGGGTTTGGATGGTTGGATATAGTCTGCAAGTTGGTTATATTTTTCTAGTATCCAGCACACTAAACTCTGGGCATCTGCATCCTTGTAGTGGGAATGGGAGACAGTGATTCTTCAGAGCTGTTCAGTTCTTTTGGACCAGGAGAAACAAACTTGTTTCCATTCAGCCTACCAGGACTAATGGAATTGCCACATATTCTACGTCTAGCAGTTCTGAGGCACCAGTGCTCAGAGATACTTAGGCAGGCCCAGGGCTAGTCCTAAGAATTTGATGAAGGAGGTTATCATGACCATGGATGGGAATTTAAAAATTGAGCTTTCATTTTTTGGAAGGGGGGTTGTTTTCTGCTTTTTCTAGGTCAGTTTTTGCTTCCTAATGTCACCTTGAGGTGTAGTACTTACAGCCACAAGAAGGATTCAGTTTTCAGTTTTCTAGTTCTCATGACCTATCACCAGCGTTATCAAATTCTTTGTGCTCCTGAAATGTGCTTATCTATTAGCATTATTTTGGCATTCTTTGACCTCTGTTCTCTGAAATCCCTATCAAAACATTTTGTTTTGGGGGGATTTATTTTGACAGTTTCGTTTGTATTTCCACTAATGAGGGTTTTTTAATCTTTTTGTTGGTGCATGATATATATCTAGAGAAATATACATAGCTAATGAGTTTTTAGCCAAAGTTTAATACATTTTGGTGAATAAGCTATTATATTTTTATGTTCACATGGAATTTGATAATCCCTGGCTTTTCTTAAGATCTCTGTCACTCCTTGAAAATGTCTAAACTTCCTGAATCCCCATAGTTGACTGCCTCTCTGTATTGACTACCCCAAGTTGACTGAATTTTCCATAGACTGGATGTGCACCACATGTACGTATCAGTGCAATAGACCTAGTTCCTTATGTTGATCACCTCCATATGTTAACCAGTTTGTTACAGTCCCTTGGGTGGTCGACTTACAGAGGTTCTACTGTAATCATGGAACTTTTTTTTAGTGATTACATGTTTTTTTTTTTTAAAGAAAAACAGGAAAATAAATCCTAGCATAGCATATTTGCCTTTGTTCTCACTCTTAATTGCTTATGGAGTCGGGGAAGTTATTTTAAAAGACCACATCAGCTCTTTGTTCACTTCAAAGTCCTTTCTATAACTCATCACTTTTAACCTATATAGCAGTCCCCCCTTATATGAGGGGGATACAGTAGATTCCTGAAGCCAGGGATATATGCAACCCATCTTTCGCCCTCAAACGTAATGTCTTTTCCATCTTAACTAAGCACTTATCATGGGTTGTGGCCACAACTTTTGCAGTTTATCATGGGTGTGACAGCAAAATTAGCACAGATTTCTTTATCCTCCTTCACAATTGTAAGGATAGAATATAATTCTTACTGTAGATTTTAGCAATTGCAGCGTACAATTTGGAGAAATTTTACCCGTTCAATTAAAGGAATCCCTTTATGGCTCTCCTCTTTGGTATATCCTAATTGACAGCATCATTGCTCTTATACTTTGGGGCCATTATTAAGGGCCACCACAAGGGCATAAGCCCTGACAGCTGAAAGGACCATGAGGTGACAAATACAGCATGGATCTGCTGAACTTGGGGAGGATGCACGTCTCAGATGGAACAGAACAAGACGGTAGGATATGCCCTTATGCTACTCAGAACCACGCCCAACTGAAAACCTATGAATTGTATAGTTCTGGAATTTTCTGTTTAATATTTTCAGACCGAGGTTGACCAGTGGTAACAGAACAAAAGCCTAGATAAAGGAGAACTACTGCATTTTTTTCTCTCATGCTTTTGTGTATATGATACATCCTTTCATTATAAGCAATAGCTCATAACTTTATCTTCCACTGGTGTCTCCGGTAACCTAAAACTTCTTCCTAGTAGTAACCTACTACATTTTAGACAAGCAATTGTGTACTTCCAGTAATTAAATGCTGGGTACACAAAGTCGAAATACTGCCCACTGTGGAGTGTTGGGTCCCTCTGCCAGTATAGTCAGATCCTGACTGTGCAGACGCGAGTGCTCCAGCTGGTAGGTTCTACACAGCCCTGCTTTTCCTCCTTCCTCCTGTTTCAGTGACTGCAGCGCTTACGAACAGGCCTGCCATGGGGCTAGACAGGCATATCAACACGCTTACAATTGAAAGCAAGCAGTTCTGTTAGTCAACTTGCTTTTAGCAACATCGGCTGGGATTTTCTGAGCAGGTTATTGAGACTGGTTGGCTTCAAAAGCTCTTAATGTCTCTGTGAATTACAGGTCCATGGACCTGGCCATCCTTACTACACTGCCTGTCAGATGTACAGACTCAACGTGTACTAAAGGGTTTTCCTTACATCGTCACATTTTAGCTGTACAGTAATTTAACTTATATGTGCATTACATTTGCATATTTAAAATTGTTTCTCTGCAACCTAACAGACCCAGTTTCTGCTGACACTTACATATTTTCTGCAGAACTAATGCTGTAAATTTTTTTGTCTTTCCATCACTTCTTGGGTCCTTGTTTTTACATATACCCTATTGATTAGTTGACTTCCTCATTTCTCACGTAAATAGGGTTTGATATAGTTGACTTCCTCATTTCTCATGTAAATAGGGTTTGATATATTTCTGCTGTTTAAGAATTCTTTTCTCCTCATTCCCCTTTTCTGTGAATAAAACTTACCCATATTGTTTAGAGCAGTAGGTTCGCTCTCTGGCCCTACCCAAGGCTGACAGCTAACTTGAAAAGCCTGTTGCTGTGGCCCTTCGGAGGCCAGTCTGGTCACTATCTGTCACCTGTTCACCAGCCTCTTCCCTTGGCCAAATGCTGTTTTTCCTGCCTTAAGGTTTCAGGTTAGCTATAATTCCATGTGTACTGTACAACATTACACTTGATTTCCATTCTTCTCTTTCCTGGAGCATCTTTAAAATATCTTTATTTTCCTAATATTCAGCTCTACTGACTATGATGTTAGGAATCATATAACAATGCATGAAGAAACTGACCTCAGAGATAACTATTTGATGAAATAGCGCAGTTTCTCATGGTAATAGGCAAATTGTTTTCATGCCGTTACCCTTAGTCAGTTTCTTTTTACATCGTATTCCCCTCCAAAGTGGACAGATGCTCTCCATTTTTGTCGCATCGCATTTGGCTTTGGGCTTCTGCTTCATTCGCCCTCTCAGGCCTACCCATGTTTTCTGTGCTCATTTCTCCTTATCCTGTAATTATACACCACACACTGAGGTGTAATCCATCTACCTTTTAGGACTAGACTCTACTGTTTTCACATAGGAAGTAAAAAGGCCCTAAAGGACCTGCATCCTCATCCGTCATTTCAGTCCTATGCCCCATGGAATGCTGGTCACATAAATGTTGTCATGCACGTTGTGAACCCAAAAGGTGATCGGATGGCTTTCCACCCATCAGCTAGGGTGACACTTTGATCAGCAGAATATTAAAGAAAAAATTGTGGTCTCTATGCTCAAAAACTTTTTCTTGACCTAATATAGCAAATACATGTAACCTTTTTGTCTTTTAAAGAAACTATTTATATGAACAAAGCAGAGCTCTGGAGGATTGCCAAAGGCGGTTGGGGTGAGGAGAGGTACAGGAAGGAATCCATACTGGAGCTACCTGCTTTCTGTCTGCGCTGTCCCGGCTCTCCCAGACCTGAACCGGCTCCTTCTGCTGCTGTCGTGTCTGGCCTCTGCTGGCGTTTGCTCTCGTAGCCCTCCGTTTGTGTTGGTGTCTTTGTTCCCTATTTGAACTGGCACAGTATTGGCATTTTTCCTGCCTGCAGTGGGAAATGCCACCTCTGTTCCTCACCATGACCATCCTTTAGAAACAGAAAAGTTCGCAGGGCACGTGTTCGTCATCAGTAGCTAAGCCCCACATTCCTGGACATACAAGTAGGCCTCTGCTCTGTTCACTCCTGGCTCAGCCCTCTTCAAAGAAGCCGCCCCCAGGCCTCCTCCTGGGTTCTCAGTGTGAGATCACTGTGTTTGTGGAACAGAAGTCCCAGCTCTCCGCCCGCCGGGGGAGTAGTTGGGGAAGAGGGTGCTGGGACCTCACTGGGGCTGCAGCCCGAGTGCAGGGAAGAGCTGCGGTGCTCTGCATGAAATAAAACTATACCCCCAGAGTACTAAGCCTTCTCTCTTTCCTCCTCGCCCTTTGCCAGCATTGGAGGAAAGGATGTTTTCCCACATTGCTCTGGAATATTCTGTGAGTTCTCCTAATTTCCCAGGCAGCTGTGTGCCACCTCCTGGCAGGCTGCTGGGCGTGTGACACTTCTCTACCATTCTCATCAGCTTGTCAGCAATCTTGTCATCAGTGTTTAAGAAAGTTTCCTATAATTGTAATGGTTTTTGTTTGTTTGATGTGTTGCAGTTTACAGAGGGCTTTCTTAAAGGATGTTATGACCGTTCACTCTTGACCACCATTCCTTGTGTTAGGGGATGGCCTCCATTTAGAGTCCAGAAGCCTGAGAGAGACAGAGTGATTTCACGTACCCAGCAAACGGCAGATTGGGTTCTGAACCCAAGGTCTTTCCACCGCATCAGAGCTGCTGTCCTCTTGCCTTTTGAAAACTTGACATAAACTGCCCTTCTTTTTGTTGTACTGACTTTTCCTGCTCACCTAGGGCATGAATCCCCTGCCTCGGATCCAGAGGTGCATTTCCTTTTTAACAGTCTCATCATGCCACAATATGCTGAAATAGGATTCTCTTGTTAAATCATTTATACATCAGATACACACAGC